CAGGACTTGGTAGAAGCAACTCCCTACTGTGAGCAAACTGAAGCTTCCATCAATCCATCACCAGTTAAAGGCTTCCTAAAGAAGCCAATCTGAAATCTTTCCAGCCTTCATAAGATCAACTAGAATTTTAAATCTGCATTAGGGACATCTCTTTTTGGTTGTGATATACTTCTCGCCCACGTACAGGGATGAAAGAAGGCATTGATTTCTGCTCCAACTTTCCACTCAATTTTCTGTTCATCCCATGCAGAGCTGTTTCCCTTCTGCTGCAGTTTGGCTTCTGACAAAAAGCTACAGCATTCATCTTCCTGTCAGAATTGAATGTAATCTATTTTTAATTAACTTGTTTATACTTATTCATAGGTATACTAATATACATACCCATTACAAAGTATATTTTTATAAGATAATAAGATAAGATGGCTGCTCAGTCTTAAAAAGAACAAAGTCAGAAAGAAGAAAAGACCTATAAAAAGAAAAAGGGGTGTAAAGGTCATTCATTGTGATGCAAAATTGGGGGCAGGGGGAGCCTTCAATTACATATCTTTTGCAGACTAAAAACAGCAGCCAATTGTTTTTGCGTGGACAGGCGGAGTCCCCCAAACCCTGGGCGGCCCCCGTGTGGAATAACGACTCAAGACAACGTGCTATAGGATTAAAATTGGCCACAACTTTATTATGTTTCAGATGTGGGTAGACTTTGGCTCAGGCATTGGGGGTTTATCCCTCCCAGTCCCCCGCCGGGGATCTGGGGAACATCAGGGTTATCCAGTGTTGCGGGGGGGATGGGCTGGCTCTGGAGAACATATGTTCAAGCAGAGAGAGCCCGCCCCCATTACACCGCCGTCACAGGGGAGAGCAATGACAACCTCTAGGCATACGGCCAAAGCCTCCCCTCAAAACAACCCCTTTAACGGGGAACCCTGGTATCACCGTCGCAAAGAGGAAGGGGGCGTGGGTCACCACTACACGCCCACCCCCATTTAGGGAAGGTAGACTAAAGGATTCCGCCCAAGGCCTGATACTGCCAAAGTTGTGAAATTTTGCCACGGGAAATGCAAACCTGCCAATGCAGGAGAATTCCTTTCCGGCCCTTCAAAAGCAACCTTGACATAGCAGCACCCACATACCAGTGGAGAAAAGGTTAACCTGCAAAAGAAGTCTTAACTGAGGGTGGGTAGGGTGGGAGAAGCTCTGGAGCCAACTGACGATTCCCAGGTAAGATCCTCCCCCTATTGTGTGGGCAGGTGGTCTCTCCCCCTACCTTGGCAACACCTCCCCAGGTGGGATTGGGCAACTGGCTGAGGTAGGCGGAGACCTCCAGGTATCCTACCTGGGGAAGGTGAAGCCAAGCCTGTGCTAATGGTGCTGCTTAGGGTCCTGGGGGCTGCGCACGACCACGCAAAGGGCACCCCCCATTTAATGTGGGGAGCGGTCATTGCTGGATGGATTTCCATTCTGGACATGGGATGAGTAAGGGAGCATTGGCAATTTCCTATCTCATTTCAGTTTCCGCTGGAATTTTCTGGCATCCCTATTCAAGTATGGCTATCTCTCTATGGATAATGGCAACAGTTTCATCATGGTACAGTTGTTTTGTGGTATTTAGAACTTGATATTTGAAGTTTTAATGGGGAGACCCCTAAAAGCCCAATGATGCCCTTCACTGCTTGCAACTATAGATGTGGTAAATAGCCTAGCATGAAACTATTAAAATATAGTTTGTTGTTAAGCTTACAAGGGTTCAGATTTGTACAAAAACACTTGGCTTCATTTTTACAGGAAATATTTAGATAGCATACTGGAGTCAAACTGAAATTTCAACAATATATTTTCTAACATCTCCCAAGGAAAAAAAGATTACCGTTCCCTTTCCTCTAAAAGGATTTAGATGGAATAACATCTGTGTTGAGATTATTGTGAATATGTTAAACTGACAGCAAGCCTCTGAGGGGCACTGCTCATTAATGTTCCACGCATAAAATTAAAACTAGAAATATTTTTTTTCCAATCCATTTTGAATCATTTAAGCAATTCTCATGCAAAGAAACTATTGTGCTGCAATAATATATTTGGAAAGTAAAGTATGAAAGCCATTAAAATGTCTTAGACCTCCTGCTTTTCATCAAAAGAAGAGGGGGAAAGCATCTCTCTGCTGATTTGAAATGCATGCTGTATGAGACACGAAAAACTACTTTAGAATGGCATTAAGAGTTTGACTCCAACTCTTTGGAGCCATGAAATCGGAAGTTAAGTTTTCCAAAAGCATATTTAATTCATGCTGTTTGTTGAGGTGCTGAAGCATATGGTGGAAGGCAGGAACTCTCCCAAATGTGAAGCAAAGGCATCTAACCGGAAGATGCTGGGGCTGTGCATGTTTCTTTTCAAAATTTGGTGAGAGAATCCTTTCTCTGAATTTCTTGCATCGGTAGCCTCTTTCAACAAAGTCACCGTTGCAACAATGATACAAATTATAATCAAAACACCACCGGCCCCTTAGCAAAGTGGCAATGTAAACTCTTATGGCCTAATCCCAACAGCACTATGTGAATCCCAACCGTCACAGAGGAATGTTGTGAATGACAGGGTTTGCTGATGTGTGTCCTCACTGGTTAGACATTCTCTGGAGAATGCTGGCAGTCTTGCACAGGTGCAGTATGTCTTGAGGTTTGGGACATTCCCAAAATTTCCATCGACTAGTTGGGATTCACCAGATTTCTGACACTCAAGAGTTATGGCAATTTTTGTTCCATTGGGTCCTGTTGACAAAGTAATGTTGTGTAGTGGCAAAGAGGCTATGCTTTGAACCACAACATCAGTTCTCTGTCATGAACTCATTACACAAGCCACTTTCTCCTCTACAATGTGGGGATCGTGTTACTACCGACCTATCGTACAAGTTGTGTTCCTCAGTTAATCTATGGCATGTGTTCAGAACACTCTAAAAGAGCTCTGAGGATGCCTAGTATTGTTGTGAAACTATGATGGTCATGAATATCCCAGTGTAAAAACCTGCAATAGAGCAGATGACATTATTTGCAGCTGTAGCAAACTGTTACTAGCCATGTTGATGGACTCCTTCTGTTCCTTTGAGATCATCACTCTAGAACAGGCATGGCCAAACTTGGCCCTCCAGCTGTTTGGCGACTACAGCTCCCATCATCCCTAGCTAACAGGACCAGTGGTCAGGGATGATGGGAATTGTAGTCCCAAAACAGCTGGAGGGCCAAGTTTGGCCACCACTGCTCTAGAAGATAGACTGTCGGGCTGCTACTCAATCTAGTGGTGCAGATTACAACTGGGGAAGGATTGTTTCATGGAGTTTTCATCCAAGGAGTTGCTCTTGTGAAATGGGCTTGGTGTTGATGACCTCTTTGTCCAAAATGTCTTCTCCTACCCAACTGTTGAAGGTTCAGCTTCCCTCCTTTGCCACCATATTAGAATTAGAGGTTTACCAAAGCTTATCTCCATTCTTCCAGACGTAGATTACAATCATGGGGATTGAAAAAGAGATTGTAGGACATAACTTGATCATATGAGCTTGTCTTCTGGATAAATTCATAGCAAAAAGGTAAACACAGCAGTCAGTACATCGTCTGGTACAGGATAATTTTTAAGTGGCAACTGTACACACAACAGCAATTGTGAACAGAAAACTGGCATGCTCTGCAGCGTAGATACGGTGATATATTGATGGAATGTACTGAGAGTCTCTTTTCCATGGGATCAGATGATGAATGCATCGTTAATATACCCAAGGCACGTTTATGGAGAAATGTATACTGAGTCATTATTTTATTTATTAAATTTACACCCCACCCTTTCTCCCAAAGGAGCTCAGAGGAAATAACCAAAGCACTAGATTTGCAAAAACAAAAGCATATGAATACATATGTTTGTGACCAAACATAAATAATGTCACCATTGAAAGGGAAAGGACGGAGCAAGGGGGTATTTGGACAAGGCAGGAAAAGATGCTGGAAGAGCTGCAAACAAATGAATTCCAAATCCAAGTAGGACTGACATGGGATCAGGGGATGCTGTGTGTGACCCAAGAACGTTTCCTGGTTAAGGTATTTGAGTTTTACATACCTTCTATATAAATTATAGCATGCAGATGGAGTTACATATTTATAATGCCTGTTTTCCCAACTCACTGCAAAGATTTATTCCCTATCAAAGGGAATTAAAAACACTTAAAGAGCTGCCACTGTAACTCTGATTTTGGTTGCCTTCATTAAACGATCATTTCCCTCCCATACGATGTGGCAGGGTGTATTAAGGAGACATAAAGAGTGTGTGAGCAGCAGGAGTTAATTAAACAGGACAGTGGATAACCTTTGGTAAATATTATTGTGACCTCAAATGAATGTATAAAAAACTCCATTCATAATCTGGTGGTTTTAGGATATTCTCTTGGATTTCTGAGTGGTCAGAAGTATTGTGAAACTGTGAAATAACAATTCTATCATTTATTTAGCTGTGAGAAACAGTCATATTATTTTGCTATAAATAAATTCTACTGCGTATTGGAAGTAATAGTCAAAGGTATACTGCAGTGTTTAACCTTAAACCACACAAGCACTTCCAGAAATCTTCTTTCTGTTACCCAGAAAGCATATCGCCTCTGACAGTGAAGGTAAAATACAGATAAGAAGCAGAGGATTTATGATGGCTCAAGTGTGGATAGAAATACCTATGGTTTTTCTTAAATGGAAAAAAGAAAACACCTTAGACACGGCAATATGTGTTTACAACAAACTCTGAGCAAAAATCAAACATTTTAAAGCTTGCACTTATTATGGCTCCACAGATGTGGGCAGGCGGATTTAAGAATATAAGGAGAACCCTGCTGGATCAGGAATCTAGTCCAACATCCTGTTTTAACAGTGACCAACCAGATGCCTTGTGGAGGGCAAGGCGAGAGAGCATGTCTCTCATAGAGTTGGAAGGGACCACAAGGGTCATCTAGTCCAACCCCATGTAGTGTAGGAATATTTTGCCCAGTGTGGGGTTCAAGCCCACAACCATGAGATTAAGAGTCTCATGCTCTGCCGACTGAGCCATCTCAGCTGAAGAAGGGACCGTTTAAGTGAAAAAGACAGTTGGCTTCATTTGTTGTTGAAATGTTTTATGAAGCCACTGCAAGAAGAAGGGGGGAAAATGTACTGGAAAGTTGACAGAAGGCCAAAAATATTAATATACTAGAACACAGTGAACTTTTTGCATGCTGTAAATATTTTCTCAGACTCTCAAATATAGCTGGGAAGTGTGTTCAGCTTTTCTCTCCTACATCATCTAGAAGAAGTGAATTAACACACAGCCCATCCTTCTCCACAAACCATCTTGTAAGCTATTGTTATGTGTTATATTTGAATATTGCTCTTCGCTTAGGAGTTTAAGTGGCAAAACTTCCAGGTGATTTGAGAAATCGTTATTTGGACATATGGCCGTCTACTGAGGTTCGCCACTAAGGAAGGATCTGAACCTGCAATTTCCTGTGACCAAGCAACCAGTACAGTGGTACCTCGGGTTAAGTACTTAATTTGTTCCAGAGGTCCGTACTTAACCTGAAACTGTTCTTAACCTGAAGCACCACTTTAGCTAATGGGGCCTCCTGCTGCTGCCGTGCTGTCGGAGTACGATTTCTGTTCTCATCCTGGAGCAAAGTTCTTAATCTGAAGCACTATTTCTGGGTTAGCAGAGTCTGTAACCTGAAGCATATGTAACCTGGAGCATATGTAACCCGAGGTACCACTGTATTGTACACCATATACTTTCAGATATCAATGTTCACTGGAAGATTTTGAAACCTGAAAGATGTTAAAAGTGTCAAAGCACAGGGGTGTTTTCACACACAGCACTAAAGCAGTTTTTTTCCTGCATTCTGTACTGCGACTGCGAATTAGCTTAAGGAGGCAATCAATTGCGGAAATGTCCACAAACAGCACAAATGCACTGTATGTGCAATCCTGTACCTTAAAATAACAGTGTCTGCCAAAAACTGCCAAAAACTGCCCCCACCCCTACAGGAAACTGTTGCTTTGTTTGGCCCATCCCTGATCTAAAGAGGCTAGTAATCTGAATTAGGAAAACTTATTTATATATGGGGTTTTTTTTAAAAAAAAAAAAAGCATTTCTAAACCACTCAATGTTTTAAGACTCTCTAAGTGGGATACGCTATGTACATTGTACAATACAGAAACAATAAACTTTTTTTTAAAAAAAAATGCTTAACTAGAAGCAGAAATTGTAGAAAGATTTTGACAGGTTTTTCTGGGTGGGGTCAAAAGAAAATAATTTAAAACAACTGCAGTTGAGACATTTCATTCCGAATCTGCTAGACAGAGATGGGTGTCTTGCCCTCCCCTGCCATAAATCCTGGCTATGCCCATGTATGTGGGCACCTGCAGAAAATATATAGAGAGAGCAAAGCTTATCATAATGTAAAGGGTACTCCGCCTGGCATCCTTAGCGCTGGGCAATATAATGTTGGCTGTGAGTTTCAGCGTTCTTGCACTCCGCGCGATCCTGTATCCACCTCTGCTTGGTGGCCGAGCGCGCAAACCATCCATCTCTGCCCTGGCAGGCGGATGCAGCGCCTCCTCCCTCCGCCCCTCCCGCGGCATTCCTCAGCCGTCTCCTAGCAACGCGATGCAGCAGCAGCAGCAGCAGCAAGCGGGGTTATCTCCGGCTCGGAGGTGGCTCGCTGGCTGGAGCCCGGCTGCTAGCAGCGCCCGCCCTCTGCCCAGCCGCCAGGGGGCCCTAGACCGGGGGAGCTAGTCCGGGATGACGCAGAAGAGCAAACTCAACTTCGTGGCTGAAAACCAGATCTGGTACAGTCCTTGCTTCTTCGCCTTACCCCACCCACCGTCTCTTCTCCCCCCCCCCCACACCCATTCCTCCTGCCGGGGGTACAGCCTGCCTGGGATAGCCAGCAACATGACCTCTCTGAAGTCTAGCTCCTAATGCTGAAAGCTCACACACACGCGCGCGCACACACACGAGGACCCAGTTACAGGCTTTCCTAATAATAATAATAATAATAATAATAATAATATTAAAGGCACCTGTTTGCCTTGCAAGACCCTTCCATCACCCCCACTGTCCATTGCTGTAATGAGAGAGAGAGAGAGAAAGAAAAAAAGAAAGAAAGAAAGAAAGAAAGAAAGGGGAGTCATAGAATCACAGAGTTGGAAGGGAGCCTGAGAATCTTCTAGTCTAACCCCCCCAAAAAGGTAAAGGGACCCCTGACCATTAGGTCCAGTCGTGACTGACTCTGGGGTTGCGGCACTCATCTTGCTTTACTGGCCGAGGGAGCCGGCGTACAGCTTCCGGGTCATGTGGCCAGCATGACTAAGCCGCTTCTGGCGAACCAGAGCAGCGCATGGAAACGCTGTTTACCTTCCCGCCAGAGTGGTACCTATTTATCTACTTGCACTTTGACGTGCTTTCAAACTGCTAGGTTGGCAGGAGCAGGGACCGAGCAATGGGAGCTCACCCCGTCGTGGGGATTCGAACCGCCGACCTTCTGATCGGCAAGTCCTAGGCTCTGTGGTTTAACCCACAGCGCCACCCGAGTCCCTACTCCAACCCCCTGCAATGCAGGAATAGGCAGCTGTCCCATTCGGGGATCGAACCTGCAACCTTGGCATTATCACACTCTGAGCAACTTTGAGTTGGGTGGTTGTCAGTTGCAAAGTGGTGGACCGAAGCCCCACGTTTGTCCGTCCCCCCTGGAATAGACAGACAGAGTCTAGGCAACTGAAGCTATCGTACAAACTTTTCTGCCCCGCAGTGCCAAATTTTAAATCAATCACTAGAGCCATGGTGGGATGTGATTTGGCCAATATGCCCTCAACAATAGTGTCGCCGCTGCCCTATAATAGTTCATACCTCAGAGAATATTTCTTCCTCCCTAGCCTCCAGCTTGTGTCTCTTATTGCAGTTGTGATTTCTGCGTGGAATGTGGTTGCACAAGTGTTAATGGGCACCTGCTGGTTGTTGCCTGTTGTATTTTAAGTCATGGTGACATGACCACTCCCGACGCCATTTTTGTGAACTTTTAATGTCCTATTTCCCCTGTTCTACAGTATTTAGTCCATTGTGCTTTCGTTTTGTTTCTTAAACAAAGCTACTACTGCCATCCTACCTACTTCAGGAACATTTTTAAAAACATTTCTCGATGGCCCTGTTGACAGAGCAAAAACATAAACAAAGTGCCCACCCTGTCCAGCTCATGCAAAAGTTGTGTGACATTGGCTATAGCACCGCCACAATCCAATACATGGGTGCTGGATCAGAGCTGTTTTAAGTAAGGATTTTAACTAAGGATAAAAAACAGGCTACTTCTTTTTTTTAACCATCTGGAAGCCAGTCCTTTACCACAAACAGACGGGCAAAACAGAGTAAGGGATAGAATCAATGTGTTTATAGACTGGCTTACAAGCGGAGTGGTAGCCATTAAGCGGTCAGCCCCTTCTATTTGTTCAATATCGTTTATGTTCTCTCGGGTGTGAAAGGCGAAAACTAAAATGTAATCCTAAACTGAACAAAGGAATAGCAGAGCAAGGTGTTGCATTCCACAGATGATCAGAATTGCTTCATAACAAGGCTCTTAAAACTGCAGTCTAAGCTCCTTCTACGGTACAGTCCACCGCGCAGTGAAATCAAAGTACATTAAAGGCAACAGTCTCACTCCAAGTACTTCATCTTAACTGCCTCGTGGGTCACGCTGTTAACAACTTAAAAGGACAAGGTTACAATCTGCAGATCACTTATTCCGAAACAATGGCTTGATATAATTACTGTAGAGTAAATAAAGTTGTGAGTTGCTGCAGGGTTTAGTTGTTTCTTCTATTTATTTATTTTTTTAAAAAAGTCCTTGAGAAGGACTTACTCAGTAAAATAAGCCAACTCGTTCATTATTCCTTCAACTAGCAAAATGCATCATTCTGTTGGGTGGAGATGAGTGTGCACAGAAAAAAAAGCTTATGCATTTCAAGGTCCCAGCTGGCAACCTGGCTCTGTGCAGAGAAACACACTGTGTTCCTTTGTCCACCTAAGGTTGGAAGCGTGGGGCAGGTTTTACTCTCCACTGGCGCTGTGGGTTAAACCACAGAGCCTAGGACTTGCTGATCAGAAGGTCGGTGGTTCGAATCACCACGACGGGGTGAGCTCCTATTGCTCGGTCCCTGCTCCTGCCAACCTAGCAGTTCGAAAGTACTTCAAAGTGCAAGTAGATAAATAGGTACCGCTCCAGCGGGAAGGTAAATGGCGTTTCCGTGCACTGCTCTGGTTCGCCAGAAGCAGCTTAGTCATGCTGGCCACATGACCCGGAAGCTGTACGCCGGCTCCCTCTGCCAATAAAGCGAGATGAGCGCCGCAACCCCAGAGTCGGTCATGACTGGACCTAATGGTTAGGGGTCCCTTTACCTTTACCTTTACCTTCAAAATATGAGCCATATTCAGCATCGTGTTATGCAAATTATTCAGATGGCACAAGGATTTCTCCTTGCGCAATTGAACAATCTCCCCCCTCTCATCCCCTCAAACAGTCCATCTATTTTAGGGGTTCCCTCAACTCTTTGGAGCAGATTTGGGGAATGGGGAAAGGTGCGTGCAGTGTGACAATTTAGCTGAACACAACTCTGTGCTTCTGAACTTCTTGCTGATTTTATTTGTGTTCTATTGATAGTTTTATTATGTACACTGGTTTGAGAGTTTTCTGATTCAGCGGTCTATAAATCTTTCTCAATAAATAAAATAAATAACCATATAATAATAATAATAATAATAATAATAATAATAAAATTTTATTTATATCCCGCCCTCCCCAGCCGAAGCCGGGCTCAGAGTGGCTAACAACAATAAAAGTAATACAGCATTCTAAAATCAATTCATTCTAAAATCAATTCAAAATCAAATTAATGGCAACCATTGGGCTAGAGTTCTGTGAGGATTACCAAAGGAGGGGGTCAGACTGTGCCTTGGCCAAAGGCCTGGTAGAACAGCTCTTGCAGGCCCTGCGGAAAGATGTCAAGTCCCGCAGGGCCCTAGTCTCTTGTGATAGAGTGTTCCACCAGATCGGAGCCACAGCCAAAAAAGCCCTGGCTCTGGTTGAGGCCAGCCTAACCTCCGTGTAGCCCAGGACCTCCAAGGTGTTTTTGTTTGAAGACCGTAAGGTCCTCCGTGGGACATGCCAGGAGAGGCGGTCCTGTAGGTACGAGGGTCCTAGGCCATATAGGGCTTTAAAGGTTAAAACCAGCACCTTAAACCTGATCCTGTACTCCACCGGAAGCCAGTGCAGCTGGTATAGCACAGGGTGAATGTGAATATAGCTTCCCTCTTAGATTCAGTCTTTTGGGCATGCTAGAATGTGGTGGGAATTGGCTATTTTTAAACAAACAGATCTAGAAGGTCTGAAGGAGGGCAGAAGGGCAAGTAGTAGCCCCACCACAAATAAGGAGTTTCCCCCCTACTATCTCAATTTCTGCACTCCTGTCATAAGCACAGGCTGTTATTTTTCTTTCTCATCCACCTACAAATATTCTTCCCTCTTCTGTGCCACCCCTCCCCCTGGGAGATTTTTGTGATGCTACCACTGCTTTTCAGAGACTGTGATTATAATGATGATGATGATGATGATGATGATGATGATGATGTACTGCCCATCTGACAGGGTTGCCCAAGCCACTCTGAGTGGCTTCCAGCATATAAAAAAAGCACAATAAAACACTAAATATTATACACTTCCCTCTACACAGCTGCCTTCAGATGTCTTCTAAAGGCTGTATAGTTACTTATCTTCTTGACACCTGATGGGAGGGCATTCCACAGGGTGGGCACCACTACCGAGAAGGCCCTCTGCCTGGTTCCCTGTAACCTCGCAGGGAGGGAACCACCAGAAGGCCTCGGAGATGGACCTCAGTGTCCAGGCTGAACGATGGAGGTGGAGACACTTCTTCGGGTATACAGGGCCGAGGCCGTTTAGGGCGCTTTTAAGGCCCATTCAAAATATTTGTGCCAGTGGCTTTCCTTATGCAGGAAGACAGAGGATTTTTTTATGTTAAGGGCTTACACACACTTCGATTTGTCCCATGGTTTTTAGGCATGGGTCCGAGAGGTTTTTCTTTTGTCCCAACACTTTCCCCAGGAAGCTCCACTGTTTACTGATCTGTGGATTAGTGTTTGTTCCAATTCAGTGGTAAAAACCACGGATTTTCCTGGGTAAAGCAGTGGGACAAATGAAAAACCCCTCAAACCCATGCCTAGAAATCATAGGGCAAGCGGAAGAAAACAGAAGTGTGGATGAGCTTAAGACTGTTCCGTAAAGCCTTTTAAACCATTTCTTTTGTATCTACATCAGGAAGGATCATGTTGAAACTGAAAACATAGCTGCAAAGAGATGGCCCGAACGGTGGGGGTTTATGTTAACACCAGTGGAAGAGGTAAAAATTTTGTGTTTGTGTGTGTGTGACATTTATCCATGAAGGACAGTTTTGTTTCAGTTCTTAATCTCACTTCATGACCTGCATTGAACAAGAATCACCTTCTTGCCGAAACATGAGGCTATGGTCTTGTTTCACAAAAACATCTACAGTGGTACCTCGGGTTACATACGCTTCAGGTTACATATGCTTCAGGTTACATGCGCTTCAGGTTACAGACTCCGCTAACCCAGAAATAGTGCTTCTATTTAAGCAAAGTTAAGAACTTTGCTTCAGGATGAGAACAGAAATCGTACTCCGGCAGCGGGGCAGCAGCAGGAGGCCCCATTAGCTAAAGTGGTGCTTCAGGCTAAGTACAGACCTCTGGAACGAATTAAATACTTAACCCGAGGTACCACTGTACATCTCTCCTTATGGCCCTAGAATGAAACCCTAACCATCAATTATTTGTTGTTGGGAGGACAGTTTAAGTGTGTGTGTGTGTGTGTGTGTGTGTGCGTGTGCGTGTGTGTGTGTGTGTGTATTCAAAGATATACAAAAATCCATACCCACTACAAAATGTACTGAGATCAATCAACTACTTAGTCTAAAAGAGAACAAAGCCAGAAGGAAGAAAAGACAAGGAAAGGAGAAACCTAAAGAAAGAGAAAGCGAGGGAAAAGGAAAAGAAAGAAAAAAATAAAAAATAAAATAGAGAAGGAAAAAATAAAAGGATTTCCAGCTCTCTGTCCTGCAGCTACATATGATATTCATTCCTTAACATCCAACCATTCTCCCTTCTACAAACCAGCATTTTTTTCAGTCTTCAAATCCAGATATTTCAAGTTCCTTTTCTCTTTTTCGTAAAAAATCCACAATAAAATTCCAGTCCATAACAAATGACTGGAGTGCTGTTGATTATTTGTTCTCGGAAGGGATTGCCAAAAGTTGAGAGCACTTATCCGTCCTTCAGATTCAATTGCTAGCCTTAAAATGAGAATTAGTTCTCCATATGGAACAATGGATTTCAAAAGCATCCAAAGCTATACAATAAATGGGCTTATATCTGAAGTCAAGTACAAGGTCATTAGCTACTGCTATGATGGAAACAGCATAAATATCTAGATAGATATGAGTTGTTACAATGTTATCCCAATGCGTGGCTCAGTGTGAAGTACCCATTAATTTCATTGCATTTTTCTTCTATTTTTAGTTGTTAAAAGATGAAAAGAAGCCACCTGCCAAACCTAAGATCCCACTTCCAGAACACTTACAAATCCGACCTGTGACACCGGTGGAAACATATATTAAGGTTAGGCAATAGTCGCACAGTCTTAAATGGCACAATTTCAAAACATTTATTTTGGAAGAAAGAAAGAAATACCTGTGGTGGTAGATAGCCTTGAATGTTCCTCATCAGTTGTTCTACAATGACTTGGGATGTGGGTGGCACTGTGGTCTAAACCACTGAGCCTCTTGGGCTTGCCGATCAGAAGGTTGGCGGTTCGAATCCCCAAGATGGTGGTGTGAGCTCCCGTTGCTCTGTCCCAGCTCCTGCCAACCTAGCAGTTCGAAAGCACACCAGTGCAAGTAGATAAATAGGTACCGCGGTGGCAGGAAGTTAAATTGTGTTTCCGTGCACTCTGGCTTCCATCACAGTGTCCCACTGCGCCAGAAGTGGTTTAGTCATGCTGGCCACATGACCCAGAAAGCTGTCTGTGGGCAAACGCTGGCTCCCTTGGCCTGAAAGCAAGATGAGCTCCGCAACCCCATAGTCGCCTTTGGCTGAACTTAACTGTCCAGGGGTCCTTTGCCTTTGCCTTCTACAATGGCTGGTCTTTCGATAAAGATGAGAATAAATGGTGCTGGAATCCTGAGGGCTACTTTGAAAGGACAACTTAAGACAGGAAGTCTTCTTTGGATGTTCTGCTGAGCAAATGTTTCGTTGTCTTGCAATATAGTGGCCCTGCTGCAGGACAGGAAAGTAATATATCAGGTTAGTTATCTCATCTCTGTAAGTGTTCAATGCACAGATCAAAATCCAGAATTATCTTATGTTCCAGGAGCACACAAAAATCACTTTCATGAGAGATGTTTAAACTTTGAATGCCCCGCTTTTCCATACGGATATCAGGCCAACCACATAAGATTTATGATCTTGAGAAGACATACTTACAGTTTTCTAATAAAAGCTAGACCCTTTCAGTAGAAGGGAATCCAGATGGTACATTATTCTGAGGCAAGGGTAACAAACTGGAGGTCTTAGAATCTTGACACGGACCAGCGAACAATTTTATGTAGTCTCTGTAAGCTTCCTACCAAATTAGTTTGGGTAAAGGAATTCGGATTGGCAAGAAAAATAATAATAATTCAGATGTTGTGAGAGAGTCTACACATTAACATGGCATCTCTTTGGGTCTGTATGCAATGCCCTTTGTAATGTCCAAGCCTCCATGTGCTGCAGATATGTTTGTGAATCCCCAGTTGTTAATTAAATTGACTGTACTATAGTGCATGAATGGGTTGATGATCTCCATCTTCATGACTGCGTCGTTCATGGGACAAGAGAAATGTGCACAGCTGGCTAAATCATCCAGCCCAGTGTTCTTCAGTCTTGGATCTGCAGATGTAGGGCACCATCGCTGGCCATTGGCTAAGCTGGCTAGGGATGATTGGAAACGTAGCCCAACAATGTCCGAGGACTCAAACTTGAAAGAGCGCTGAGTCAGTGGTGCAAGAAGTTTCTTTTTTAAAAAAAGTTTTTATTGTTAAAATAATTCATCATTAATACACATATGTTGCGAATATACAAACATACATTTCATACAATCCTTAAAAGTGTTCAAACATACCTACACTCAATCCCACAGATAATTCCTTTTCCCATCACCATCCACCACCCCTCACCCCACCCTTGTGTTAGACTTCCAATCTACTCAATTGCAATTTCTTTCCACTTCTATTACTTTCTTTCACACACCTTTAACCTAATTTCATGCTCCTTTTTCTATTACACATTGTTATCCATCTTATTTAGTATTTCAGTATTTAAAACGGAACTTGTTTATTCTAATAGGAGTTCTGATTTTTCAATATGGTTTTGCAAGTATCCTTTAAACACCTTCCAGTCCCTGTCTATCTTCTCTTTTGAGATCCTTCCAATTTCTCCCATTGGTTCAGATATATTGTAGTACTCCAATAATTTGGCAAGCCACTCTGTTTTTGTCTGTATAATACCACTTTTCAAACAATTTTGGGAAACAATATATAATGAAATGAAAAAAATGTTCAGATATTCATTTAGGAAAACACCAGAAGGTTTTCTATTGGGAATAGTACCAGGAAGTCTAAAGGAAGAAGACAAGACATTATATTTATACGCAACAGTAGCCGCAAGGCTATTGATTGCGAAAAATTGGAAAAGAGGAAGTTTCTATATGTAACCTGTTTTGCTCCATAAGCATACTGCGTTACAGCACCTCTGAACTGCAGGCCTGTCAGATATGGAAGTCGGGAACTAAACCTGGCCTGTGTGCTACTTTCAAGTCATGGCTTGCCCGTCAGGAGAAAAGTTAGTTGGTGACTATGTGGCGGATAACCAGTTCTGGTGTAAGTAGTTAATGTCTGATTAGGACCAGGGAGGTCAGGGTTCAGATCCCATCTCAGCCACAAAGCCTGCTGAGGGAACCTTGGGCCAATTGCTGCCTCTCAGCCTAACTTCTCTCACAGAGTGGTTGTGAGGATAAAATATGGAGCCTGTTTGAGCACTTTGGAGGAAAAGAGGGATACAAATGCAATCAATCAATCAGCAAACAAGCAAACATTTAAACACCTGGGGCTTGAAATTCCAGTTTGCTCTCTCACTTGAAAATAAAAAAACACTTGCATGGCGAGGCCCTGGGCCCCGCAGTTCCCACAGAAATAAACACACAAACACAAATATGTTGGGTTAATGGGATAAATTAGGCCACAACTTTATTGGTTACAGATGTGAGCGGTTTCGCTTAGGCAATTGGGTGAAGCATGACTATATCCTGACTCTTGCCCATTTGTAGGAAGTCTTGAAGGGTCAACCACCGATAGGGGGTACCCTATGATGTACATCAATTAAGAGCTCCCCCAGGGTCACCGATGGGGTTGTGGCATGGCCCCAGCCCATGCCCAGGCTTCGGACAGGAACCACACCACTGGATCCCTTTAATGGATCTTGGAGGGGCAGGCAGGGGCAACAACCTCCCCTCCCATAACAAGGCTTACTCAGTGCCTATTGTGACGATTGCTACTAGGTAGGTGAAAACCAAATGGCTGGTGCCAAATTGCCAAGTGGAAAAATTCCAACCTGGCCACAACCAGGCGACCAACATTAGTCATAGCAAGGCCATAGTCAAGCAACGCAAGAAAGAGGGTGGGCAGGCTGGGAGATCCACCGAAGTAGACTAAAGGTGGCTACCCCCCAGCCGCACTGTGGTTGAAATGGCAAGTAGCCAGCCCCCCCCCCCCCGGCTAACCCAATTGATCAGTCGGGGGGCATAATGCGGCTGGGCGTCCTAGTGACATGGGCAGCACCCCTCTGTGGGTAACTGAAGCCCCGGAACTCCTCCCGCTGTGCAGCCCCTCCGGAAAATGCAGAGTGTCTTATCTGTTATTCCCAATGGGTTGGGCAAGGAATCCTTGACCAGACTCTTCCCACTGCCTCTGTGTGTCTGTCATGCGGCATGGAAGCAGGAGGATATAATTGCCTCCTTTCTTTGGCTCTGTGGGTGGTGCGTATGGCCGTGAAAGAAAGGAAAGAAAGTAGAGGCAGTCGGTTCAAAGGATGTCCTCCGCCTAGATATCACAAACATTTCCCAGTCTTGGCTGAGGAACAAAGCAAAAGGGCTCTGGCAGCAGAACAGAAAGAGAAACATTGCTTTCTCTCTGTGCGTTTCTCCAATGGATAAGCCCCCAGATGTTGAAGGGATACGTGGAACGCCCTTTCGATGTGCCTTGTGGAGGTGGTTTAGTCAAAGCAAGCGCAGAAGCCAAGGCTGATACGGCACTTCAGTCTTTTCCCTCCCCTCCCCTAGCTAGATTAGTTCCTTATTAACCAGGTTCATTTATAGCAACTACAGATTGAAAGATTCAGGTAGGTAGCCGTGTTGGTGTGACGCAGTCAAAATAAATAAAAAATTATCCAGTAGCACCTTAGAGACCAACTAAGTTTGTTCTGGGTATAAGCTGAAAAAGTGTGCACGCACACTAAAGCATATACAGTGGTACCTCGAGTTAAGAACATAATTCGTTCTGGAGGTCTGTTCTTAACCTGAAACTGTTCTTAACCTGAGGTACCACTTTAGCTAATAGGGCCTCCCGCTGCTGCCGCGCTGCTATTGCACAATTTCTGTTCTCATCCTGAAACAAAGTTCTTAACCCGAGGTACTATTTCTGGGTTAGCAGAGTCTATAACCTGAAGTGTCTGTAACCTGAAGCATGTGTAACCTGAGGTACCACTGTACCCAGAACAAACTTAGTTGGTCTCTAAGGTGCTACTGGACAAGTTTTATTTATTACAGATTGAAAGCTTTTACAGAAAGTTTCTTTCTGCAAAAAACAAAACAAAACAAAAACCCTGGTCACTAATATTTCTTACATTTGTCCTGAAAACTCTTCCCCTCCTCCAGCCCAATGTACATAATGTGTGTTTAATACAGAGGTGGATAATCTTTTTTTAGCCCAAGGGCTACATTGATGGTTAGCCAACCCTTGGAGAGCTGGATAGAATCATAGAATCATAGAGTTGGAAGAGACCACAAGGGCCATCGAGTCCAACCCCCTGCCAAGCAGGAAACACCATCAGAGCACTCCTGACATATGGTTGTCAAGCCTCTGCTTAAAGACCTCCAAAGAAGGAGACTCCACCACACTCCTTGGCAGCAAATTCCACTGTCGAACAGCTCTTACTGTCAGGAAGTTCTTCCTAATGTTTAGGTGGGATCTTCTTTCTTGTAGTTTGGATCCATTGCTCCGTGTCCGCTTCTCTGGAGCAGCAGAAAACAACCTTTCTCCCTCCTCTATGTGACATCCTTTTCTATATTTGAACATGGCTATCATATCACCCCTTAACCTCCTCTTCTCCAGGCTAAACATGCCCAGCTCCCTTAGCCGTTCCTCATAAGGCATCGTTTCCAGGCCTTTGACCATTTTGGTTGCCCTCCTCTGGACACGTTCCAGTTTGTCAGTGTCCTTCTTGAACTGTGGTGCCCAGAACTGGACACAGTACTCCAGGTGAGGTCTGACCAGAGCAGAATACACATCTGTATTCTGCACATCTTCTGCATATGCACACACAGATTTGAACCTCTGTAGCCGGTTTCCTGCTACTAATGTTTGCAGAGAATATTTTGTTGCTGCTCTTGGATGCCAAGGCAGTCAAAAGTGTGCTAAAGAAGAATAAGGATCTTGCAGAGAAGTTGGATGAATTATTTGCATCTGTCTTCACAGCATCTCCTTCAAGTGTCCTGATTTACCAGGACATCCTGAAACTACATAAGCTATCCCAGCTTCTGATTTGATCCCAGAATGTCCTGTTTCCCCCCTCCAGCACCACCACTGCTGAGCTCAGGGAGGAGGAAACAGCACTTGTTGGCGCTTGCAGTAATGTTGTGTTAGCATGTGACTCAGCTAGCTCCCACGAGAGCACGGCACCCGAAGATACACGTGCAAGTCGCTCACGCAAGAACGCAGCACACAAAAACACGCATCCCGATTTTCAACAGTGGAATGTTGGAGGGCATCGAAGTGGAGGGCATCTCTGAGCCTAAACTAACTTTCACAGGGCAGGAGTCTGAGGAACTGAGGTGGGCAGTGATGGTGAGAGATGAAGTTTTAGACCTAATAGACAGGTAAAGGGACCCCTGACCATTAGGTCTAGTCATGGCCGACTCTGGGGTTGCGGCGCTCATCTTGCTTTATTGGCCAACAGCTTCCGGGTCATGTGGCCAGCATGACTAAGCCGCTTCTGGCAAACCAGAGCAGCACACGAAAACGCCATTTACCTTCCCGCCGGAGCGGTACCTATTTATCTACTTGCACGTTGACGTGCTTTCAAACTGCTAGGTGGGCAGGAGCAGGGACCGGGCAACGGGAGCTCACCCCGTCGCGGGGATTCGAACCGCTGACCTTCTGATCGGCAAGTCCTAGGCTCTGTGGTTTAACCACACATCCCAATAGACAAAATAGAAACTGACAAATTGCTGAGTCTGAATGGCCTCCACCCAAGAGTTCTTGAAGAACTCAAATGTGAAGTTGCTGATCTTCTTTAAAAAAGATATATGCCTTGTCTCTGAAACCAGCCTCCATACCTGAGGACAGGAAAGTAGCCAAGGTAACATCAATTTTTGAAAGAGGATCCTGGAAATTTCAGGCCACTTGGCTTGTCATCTGTCCTGGGAAAATTGGTGGAAAGTATTGTTAAAGATAAAATAGCCAAGCATATAGAAGAACAAGCCTTGCTTTACTCCTTCTCCGTGGTTGGAGGCACTTGCTGGAAATCCTAGGAGGGAACAGTGTTGTTGTGCTCAGATCCTGCTTGTGGGCTTTCTATGGGCATCTGGTGGATCACTGTGAGAACAGGATGCTGGCCTAGATGGGCCACCGACCTCTTTCAGCTAGGCTATTTGTGTGTTTTTATATTATTTTCTTAGCTTCTGGTGTAGTTTGTCCAGGGAGAAACCATAATCCCAGGTTCAAACATCACACTAAGCCAATGTTTGTGGTTTGTTGCACATGCTGGGGGAGGAACCAAGCCATTATTTGCAGTAAATAATTAACCCTGGCTTACCACAATGTGCGCACGCAGCCACTATCTTCTTGCTTCCACATAAATGTTAACAGCTGTCCTGAAGAGTCAGGAAGAATGTTTTAACCTTTGAAAGGTTAGTCTTCATACATACATTTTTGCAGTGCTGTGATATAAATCTGATTTATTGTTGGTGTGGTCTTCTTTTTTTCATATTGTTATATTTTTACGTGTTACATATATTTATGGGATTGATCTTCAAGAAGAGCGGATTATACATTACCTATTCATATATACATAGACTAGTTAAATATTTACCTTTAGGGTTAAACGCATTACTGTTTCTCTACTTCTTTAAGCACTCGTTCTGATCCCCGTGAGGGTCAAAACTGACTTGTACAAACAGATTTTCAATGGGTTAATGGCTACAACTTCATGCCCACAAGGCAACTGTGGGGTCACATGCAGACACACTCCCTCCATGTTGTGGGTAAACTCAATGCTTCCCCCCACCCCCCAATCTAGTACTTCTTTTGACTGGAAGAGAAGGCATCATGTTGTGCTTGCAAGACTTCTGTATCAGGGGGCCCCCGTTGCATTTCACGCTCTTACGAAAGAAACTTTTTTCATCTTGGCATTCCTTAAAACAGCTGCCGTCCTCAGTGGGACAGACCCTTCCTCAGCAACTGTGTGGCTTCCATGTGTCGTCTTCTGACAAGTGGCGCTGAGGAGGCCTTTTTGTTCCTCACATGGGGAGTATTTGAACTTGGAGTTGTGATTTTGCTTAATGTAGCATATACCGTGTGAAAGAGCCATAGTTAACTCTAATGGTGGTCCCCCTAGAAATGTTAGCAATTAAATATGAATCATCTGGAGGTGGTTGCACATTGCCCAACTCCCCCCACCCCCCCAAAAAAAACCCTGTATCCAGTCTTTTCATCTTGCAGAAGAAAACAGTTGTAATGGTATATTCCAAAGAGCGCAAGAACATTTAAGTGTTAACGTGTGCATAAGGCAGACATAGGAAATCCATATTGATTTAAGTGTCTTCTGTAAAAGTGGCATTAAACTAAACACTCTTCCAATTAATTCAGCACTTTGCAGAATTAAATCCCATCGTTGTCAGAAATATAGTCTCAGCTGCTTTGTAGGGACTTTTATTTAAATCTTCGGGGGCTGTCAGTATTCTTTTATTTATGTGGAACAGTTTGTTTTGAGTATAAACTAGTAGGAACTGCAGCAAAATTTTGCACCATGGGGTTCTTCTGTTTAGGGTTCCAGAGAGCCAGCTGGGTCTTTTTTCAGGTAGCTGAATTTCATTCCATCTCCTCCCTGGCTTTCTGGTTTTCTTCATCTCAGCAATCCGTCTGACTTCTGCAACCACTGAACATGCTCAAATCTTCCTTGGGCTGTTCTGTGGATAGTCCCTCCCTTGAGATCCACCCCCCCACCATTATAATTTTTTGTAAGAATGCAGACCTTAAGATTCCCCACCTGCCGATGCCCACCATCTTGTATGAGAGCAGCCGCCATTTTGGCTGCAGAAAAATCCACGCTTGGAGAATGAGTTCACTGCAGTTGGGGTAAGGACAAAGAAATAGACAAAGTAAATGTGATCTTGGTTTATGCCCGCCTACAATGGCACTGGGCAGGTGTGGACACAGGCCTCATTGTTGGGGCCATCTCCATCCCTTTTCAAATGGACACATTGGGGAAGAAGGCAGAATCAGTCGGCGCTGAGCTTTTGTGTTCAGAAGGAAACGAGTTGGTGGAAAAGTGCTTTTCAGGGGCATAAGATGTGCAGTAGGTCCAGAAGATGTGAGAGAAGACCTGTTGTGCGTAGAGCTTTAATAAAACTATTTACTGTTCAGTTCCACTGACCTGTTAATCATTAAGAATGTAAGAAGAGCCGGAGGGGCCACTAGGGGCACATTGGAAGATGGCTGAGCCTGGATAGCTCAGTTGGTTAGAGCCTGGTGCTGATAATGCCAAGGTTGCAGGTTTGATCCCCACATGGGGCAGCTGTAGATTCCTGCATCGCAGGGGGTTGGAGCAGATGATCTTCAGGGTCCCTTCCAACTCTACAATTCTATAAGTCTATGGCTGACAATAACATCTCTCCGACCCACACGAGGTAATTAAGAGGCTGTGATGGGAGTAAACAGCCTCCCTGCCCCCCCAAGCCTGTGGGGGGGACTGCCCTTGCCTGCTGTGCCCTATACCACCCCCGAATTTGTGGGGGTGGGGGCACTAGGCAGAAAGCCCTCCTGTGGATCTCGGCGCTCCTGGACACTGTCTCTGGTCCGCGCCCCTAGCTGCAGTAACTTCAAAAGAAATAATTAGGAGGAAGCGAATGCACATATTTCAAGGAAGAAGGGGGAGTAAAGACTGCTAACTGAAGAGATTTCTGATAAGCAAGGCGGGTCGGAGGAACAAGAATAAATCATGAGAAGACCACCAAGGCTCGGTATGTTCGGCAAGGACTGGATGGGGGAGGGGAAAAAACTTTCCTTTCTTTTCTCTATGTGATTAACCAAGAATCCCTCCCCCACAAGTCACAACTCAGAAATGCCGTTTAAATGACTTAAGCTGTGGATTTAAGACTGTGTGGAGATAATGCTAACCAAAGCATGTTTTAAGAAGATCGTGGAAAGTATAAGAACTTTGGAATGACGCACTAAAAAATACCGTCGCCATTTTGACAAGTTCTGTTGGAATACTTAAGCCTGGGAGGAGGAATAGGGTTGTTTTTATATTGTGGGTGAGCCTCCTCAGGGGGGCTTAAGAGCGACAGATTTGCGAGTTTAATGATGGAAAGAGTGATGTTATTTATGAAAGCGATTATATATGGAAACCATCTTGATATGAGGATTGGACGAACGGAAAATTCACACAGGATTATAATTGGTGCTTACCTGCTTAAGGAGATTATCAGAAGAGATCATAAAGGGGAAAAAGAAAAATATACAAACAAGATGAGATGTGGAAACAGCAAGATAAGACTGAATAGAACTATGAACATTATTTGGACAGATTTGCTGGATATTAACGCAGCAGCAAGAAGATGATCGGAATCCCCCCTCGGAACTTGAAATATGGGTCCCCTCAACAAAATTTAAAATTCGGCTTTGTAATTCGGAATTTATGTGATGTGATTTGGTTTGATTTGATTGGTCGGTTAATAAAAATTATTTTTTTAAAAAAAGAATGTAAGAAGAGACTCCTGGATCAGGCCAGTGGCTCGTCTAGTCCAGCATCCTGTTCTCACAGAAGTCAACCGGATGCCTGTGGGAAGTCTGCAAGCAGCACACTGGAGCCCAAGAGCCCTCTCCCCATCTGTGGTTTCCAGCAACTTGAATTCAGAAGCATTGCTGGAGGCAGAGCAAAGCCATCTTGGCTAGTCTTCTCCCACATGAATTTGTCTAATCCTCTTTTAAAAGCATCTGAGTTGGTTAAACCAATAACATTACAGTCTAGGTAGCAAAAGCCTCAGTGTGCAGTGGATGTAGAATATAATGTTGTGTGTATACCGCTACAGAGAGCCTTTCCCATTGCGGTGTCTAAACTCTGGAACCGCCTCCCAAGAGATATTGATCTGGTCTCCTTCTTTGCTTTTGCTCTTCTGACCATTTGATTATGGCAGGCCTTCTTTGGTGTGGGATGATACTTTTCCCCCCCGCCAGGCTGTTGCATCTATGTGCATAACCTGACCTTGGGACCATATGGAAAAGGCAGTTAAGAAACCGATGCATCAGTTTTACCATTGTTTGTTTTGTTTTATAGGGCTGGATTCAGCTAACAGGTCCCTCAAGGGCTTACACTAGCCCAAGAGGGCTTCCCCCACTCTTCGTGCAGCCTCACTCACCCTCAGTTTGGTTTTTTGTGGGGTGGGGGATTGGGAAGACACCCAGAATAGCACGCAGGGGGAGGTGAGGGGGAAATCATTCCATCTGACAAGTGGAAATGCTTACACTGATGGAATGATTGCCCTAAGTGCGGCATCAAATTTCTCCTAGTGTCAGGGTTATTTTGAATTTTGTAGTGCTTCCTGGTTTGTAGCGCAGAAAGCTGGGATACATACTCAAAGAGGTGGAAGGAAGAAACAATTCCGACCAGGGAAGAATGGAAAACCAAGTTGATGGACTATGCAGAAATGGCAAATTTAACTGGGAAGCTCAGAAACCAAGAGGACAAGAACTTTAAAAAAACAGAAAGGGATAAATTTATAATTTATTTAGGAGACCATTGTAAACAGATGATAACATTAGCAGGATGTTGACCACACACTTGGAAAATAACAAAAACTATGGGCAATTTAAATGGATTTAAAAAATGGATAATGAACTGATACTGTTAAGTTGTGGGTGAACATATCAGACGACACAGCGATTCTTCAAACAGCTCTTGTTTATTCACAGGCCCAGAATAGAACTGGGCTTAAGGGTTCAGCCAGCCTGCTTATATAGAGCTCAACTACAAAGCAACAGTAACAACTTTCTGTAACTATCCAATCACTGAACGTCACTTTCAATTCCTTATTTGCATATGTGGACCTGAGTGAAAACTATCTACAGTATCCCCCTGCTGGCCCAGGGTGAGAACTTCAGTACATAACAGATACGCAGTTGTAAACATTGTCACTAGGACCCATGGAGGGGATGGGGGGAAGTCTCGAGAATCAGAATAATCTCTTTATATGGATTCTTAATTTACAGTGGTACCTCTAGTTACGAACTTAATTCGTTCCGGAGGTCCGTTCTTAACCTGAAACTGTTCTTAACTAGAGGTGTGTTTCGCTAATGGGGCCTCTTGCTGCCGCTGCGCCGCCAGCACACAATTTCCGTTCTCATCCCGGGGCAACGTTCTCAACTCGAGGTAACTCTTCCAGGTTAGCAGAGTTTGTAACCTGAAGCATTTGTAACCTGAGGCGTTTGTAACTCGAGGTACCACTGTATTTTGTTATTTGTTTATACTCTTTAAAATCTAATAAAAAATATTTACCGTATTTTTTGCACCATAACACTCACTTTTTTCCTCCTAGAAAGTAAGGGGAAATGTCTGTGCGTGTTATGGAGCGAATGCCTGCGGGTGGCGGGGGGGATCTGCTGCAGCCGTGAGCAGAGGATCCATGGTTCCCCTTCCTTCCCTCCTCCGTGGTTACAAGCATGGATCCACATGGATCCTCAGGATTTTTGCATTGGGCTACTCCAAACTCACTGTCAGATCACATGTCTGTGGCCACAGCATGAACCACAAAAATCATATATCCACTATTTCGTTTAGAATATTTTTTTTCTTGTTTTCCTCCTCTAAAAACTACATGCGTGTTATGGTCTGGTGCGTGTTATAGAGCGAAAAATACGGTATATAAAAAAAGAAAGGTGGGACAGATATATATATATGTTTATGGCCAGATATATATATATGTATAGGGCAGATATAGATATATAGATATAGATATAGATATAGATCTATAACTAAATAAATTGCATGCTACCTCCATTTCAGATTCACCCATCTCCTCCTGTCCCTCAGACGACACAAGGCTTCATAGGCTGGAGATCCACGGTTCCAGGTCTGGGACTTGAACGTTACTCTAAGATCATAAGCACCAAAGGTGCCTTTTACAAGGACGTGCAGTGGCCAAATGAACCAACCGACTGACTTTGTCCAGCTCCATCAGCTTCCCTCACTTTTATTTCCACCAGCTTTTCAGAGGCTCCTACTTGGTAGGAGAACATACGTATTAAGAATGTGCTTGTCTACCATTTCAGCAGCACTTTTAGGTGAAGGTTAACGATGAGGTTATGCATGGCTTAGGAGTGTTTTATTAAAATCAGCAGTATACAACAGACAAGTGCTCTTTGGGGCTTTTTTGTAACCCAGGTGGTTCTTTGTGAAGAAGAAGAAGAAGAAGAAGCAGCAGCAGCAGCAGCAGCAGCATCTAGGAGCTCAAAACAGTGTTTAATAGAATTGACTGTCCTCTTCTGAGAACAAATAGCAATTCCTGGCTCAGCCATCCTGTTTATTCAGAATTCATCCCGATTTCCTTGCACAAAACTTACATGGTGGTTCAACCTTTAGGTCCTTATTGAGCGCTTGTTTCAGTTTGCTTGCAGGGAGGCTGAGCATTCATTCTGCATTCATCCAAATTGCTTGTAGAGTGTTCTGTGCCTTCCTAGGAATTATTAATTCATCCAGCTTTTCATTGCATTTCCTTTCCACTTTTCTAACTGCAGAAAGTCATCCCCCCCACATTTAAGTGGATTTGTTGCACTAGAGCAACAGAGAACTTTAATCCACTTTAACTGCAAAAACTGCACACACTTCCTCTTTGCCCTGTGGCTAGAAAGCATGGGTCTGAGTGGTTCCTCACTGGTCCCATTTCGTCTAGGCATGGGTCCCAGCAGTTTTGCCTTTGCCCTGCTGCTTTCTCCTGGAAACCCACTTTTTAGCCCTAAATCAGAGCACATGTCAATCCAGAGAAAACCCAATTGACGTTTGCTCCCATTCAGCGGTAAACAGCAGGTTTTCCCAGTAGAAAGCAGAGGGGTAAGTGGATGAGCCCCTAAATTTGTGGTGTGCACTTGAATTGCTCCTGCAATATACTTAAGGTAAAGGGACCCCTGACCATTAGGTCCAGTCGTGGCCGACTCTGGGGTTGCGGTGCTCATCTCGCTTTATTGGCCGAGGGAGCCGGTGTACAACTTCCAGATCATGTGGCCAGCATGACTAAGCCGCTTCTGGCGAACCAGAGCAGTGCACAGAAACGCCGTTTACCTTCCCGTCAGAGTGGTACCTATTTATCTACTTGCGCTTTGACGTGCTTTCGAACTGCTGGGTTAGCAGGAGCAGGGACCGAGCAACAGGAGCTCACCCCGTCACGGGGATTCGAACCGCGGACCTTCTGATCAGCAAGTCCTAGGCTCTGTGGTTTAACCCACAGCGCCACCCGCGTCCCACGCAATATACTTACCCCTGTTCTATTCAGCTTGCTCACATGACCTAGCACACACAGAAACTGAGCCCTGCATCTCACCAAGCAAGTTATGAATTGTTTCTGCAGCACCTTCTCAATAATCCCATGGTTATTTGTGGCTGTTATTATTGTATTATCAGCGCAGCAGAAAATCTCCTGCATGGTGGCGGAAGTGGCAGGGTCAGTTGCTGGTGACTTTAGCCTTCTAGAAAAGTTGCAGCGAGCCATTTCCCTCTTCCTGCCTGCAAACGCTTTCTTTTAATCTCTTGTTCCGCACCCCTCAGAAACAAACTGACCTTCTCAACATTCTTTCCGAATAACTGAGAAATGATTCAGAGCCTTTGGAAAGAACCCTCAAAGAATGAAAACACTCGCAGAAAACATCCTTCCCCCCCCCCCCCCGAGCTAAACATTACTTCAGGAAAAATGGGAATAATATGTTAACAATCAGACATGATCCTGTATTTATTGGACACAGTGAAGATTCTTGTGGTACAACTTTGGAAGGCTACCCGCGTTCCCGAAGTTACATTTTGGTCGAAAACATTTTTGGGAGTTAGAAGTGGCCCTCCCTCCACCTCCCAATGCTAACCCTGTGTAGCTAGTAACACAATTTATGCAGTAAGACAGCATCAAACAACTAACCTGTGACAGATCAGGTCAATGGCATAGCCACACCCTGTTGGAACATGCCTGGGGGGCACATGCAGCCCCCAGATTGACACAAACCTCTCCGGGCATCTTCCTGATGAAGCACAGCCCAGGACATTCACAAATCAGTCCCAGTGCACACCAGTGACACATATCAAAAGACATGTGCACTCTCAATCAGCAGAGTATAGCAGAAACTATCGTGGAGGGTGAGTGTGTGCATTCCAAGTGTTTATTAAGCCATATATACAGGACAAAGCTATCATGGCGTCCTCTCCCATCTTCTCCGAGAGAGAGAGAAAGAAAAGTACAAAAGTACAGTGCAGCGGAAGTGGGATGAGACTGACTTCCGTTCTCATACTTTCCAAGCCTAGAAAGTAAACACTGACATGTGATATAACAATCACACATCCAGCAACGGAGGAGTGAAATGCTAACACACCCATGAATTTGAACCCATGGGGGAGAGTCTGTCAATTAAAAACAATACCAATACAGATGCAAGCTCGGAAATATCTCGGCTAGAAAACCTTGTTGAAAGAGGAAGATCTACAATAGCCACTGAAAAGACTCCAAAGGTTAGGCACCTCCACACTAAAGGCCCACTTCCTACATTGTGATTTTCTATATCTATCATCTCCTTCATGGATCACTGCCTTGTCATGGCAAAGGGGCTTGAACAACTCAGAGAAGCTATGAGCTGTGCCGTGCAGGGCCACCCAAGATGGACAGGTCATAGTGGTGCTCCTCCATTATGGTGCTGGAGGAGACTCTTGAGAGTCCCATGGACTGCAAGAAGATCAAACCGATCCATTCTGAAGGAAATCAGCCCTGAGTCCTAACTTGAAGGACAGATCCTGAAGCTGAGGCTCCAATACTTTGGCCACCTCATGAGAAGAGAAGACTCCCTGGGAAAGACCCTGATGCTGGGAAAGATTGAGAGCACAAGGAGAAGGGGACGACAGAGGACGAGATGGTTGGACAGTGTTCTCAAAGATACCAACATGAGTTTGACCAAACTGCGGGAGGCAGTGGAAGACAGGAGTGCCTGGCGTGCTCTGGTCCAGGGGGTCACGAAGAGTCGGACTCGACTAAACGTCTAAACAACATATCTATCATAGGGATAGACTCAGAAGTCAAATCAAGGGGGCTTCTGGTGCCAACATCAATGGCAAGAGAATTTTGCTATTCGGTTTAATCTTGTCTCTTAACTAGGGGCTACTTATTTTCTATGGATCTTCTAGATACATTTATATGTATCCTGAGAATTTCCTGGTTCAGGTTGGGTGGACAGACGCAGGAGTAGCAGCAGTTTACTCCCTTGAAGAGTCAGTTTGAGCCTGGGTTCAGAGTAACAACAAAAGAACATTGACCTAGGTCTTGGGGCAGGCTTTCTTGACAAGGTAGAGTCAGTCTTCAAATCCCCACTCAGCCATGAAGCTCACTGGGTGACCTTGGGCCAGTCAGTGTCTCTCAGCCTACCCTACCTCCCAGGGTTGTTGTGTGGATTAAACGAGGAGGGGACAAACCTTGAGCTCCTTGGAGAAAAAGGTGGGATACAGAGGCAACAAATGAATGATATACAATATTCCATTTTTGGTTTTGCAAAGCCAATACAAATCCAACAATATTTTGCTAACACAACTTGTGCTTTGCTGGTTGCTTGTTAAGATCAGCAATTTGGAATTGCAGTGGCCCAGATCCACGGACACAGTCCTTATCAAACGCGGAGTCTCCAATGAAATCCAAGAGACTGCCAACAGACAAATGACCCTCATATGCTCGTTGGACTAAAAGTTCCGGATTTGGACAAAACAGTTGTTAACACTAAGTACAGATTGTTAACACTGGAGTAGATTAATTTTTGCAATTCATCTTGCCAAACTAATTTTGACCTCATCTGTCCTTTGGTAGTATGATGCCATTAGCTTGGTAAATCAGTAACTCCACAAAGGATTTCCGTTGCTTAGGGCTGCAATTGTGAGCACAAGCTGTAACTGTAAGCACACTTGCTATTATTTAGTTATGCATGAAATTTGCATCCTTCCTTAGTGCTGACAACCTTGCAGCCACTTAGCAGAAAATAAAACAGTGAGGTTAGGACAACGAAGAAGAAGAAGAAGAAGAAGAAGAAGAAGAAGAAGAAGAGGAGGAGTTTGGATTTGATATCCCGCCTTTCACTCCCTTTAAGGAGTCTCAAAGCGGCTCACATTCTCCTTTCCCTTCCTACCCCACAACAAACACTCTGTGAGGTGAGTGGGGCTGAGAGACTTCAGAGAAGTGTGACTGGCCCAAGGTCACCCAGCAGCTGCATGTGGAGAAGCGGAGACGCAAACCCAGTTCACCAGATTATGAGACTACCGCTCTTAACCACTACGCCACACTGGCTACGAACAAAGAAACCCCACCAAGCTACAGGCAAAACCATACAAACTTGATGGTGAAAAGCAAATGAATCTGTAATAAGCAGCAAAAGGTGTCCAAGGCATTGCTAAAAGCAATGAGAGGCAACAGAATGGATTTTGCCTAAAATATATTTTAAAAGGTGCTAGATGTACATCATTAGGGAAAGTGGGCACCATCACTGAAAAGGCCCTCTTCCTGTAGCTTTCTGCCTAACCTCAGACGGGGAGACATGACAGCTATTGCTAATAGCTATGGAGGGACGCGGGTGACGCTGTGGGTTAAACCACAGAGCCTAGGACTTGCCGATCAGAAGGTCGGCGGTTCGAATCCCCGTGACGGGGTGAGCTCCTGTTGCTCAGTCCCTGCTCCTGCCAACCTAGCAGTTTGAAAGCACATCGAAGTGCAAGCAGATAAATAGGTACCGCTCCGGTGGGAAGGTAAATGGTGTTTCTGTGCGCTGCTCTGGTTCGCCAGAAGCGGCTTAGTCATGCTGGCCACATGACCTGGAAGCTGTACGCCGGCTCCCTTGGCCAATAAAGCGAGATGAGCACCGCAACCCCAGAGTCGGCCACGACTGGACCTAATGGTCAGGGGTCCCTTTACCTTTACCTTTATGGAGGGGGGTCCATCACAATTGTGACACATTGGACCTTTTTGAGGAGAGCAGACCTTACCAGAGGCAGTAATGCTCTGAATACCAGTTGCTGGAAATCACAGGAGGGGTTCTGCTGCAGTCCTGATCTAGACTGAGGGTGGGGGCGGGGCAGACTTGCATTGCGGAAAAGGCTCCCAGTCGCAGATACAAGGGTCTTGTTCCAAAG